CGCGCGGCGGGGCCGGGGGCGGGGCGCGCGGCCTCTGCAGAGTGGTGGGCGGGCCTCCCGCGTTGGCTCCCGCGTGGCTCCGCCCCCGGGCCGGAGCGAGCTGCGGGCGCGGGCAGAACCCTGGCTTTGAGGGCCCAGCTTCAGCGGAGCGCGACGCCCTCAGCCAGGTAGGATATGCCCGCTTCCCGCCTCCCCGCCAATCTCGATTCCTGCTTCAAAATGTCTCTGCTCCAGAAATCCTTCGCCCTATAAATGGCCCTGACCTGCCTCTCCCGGGATGGCCATCGCCTTGACGCTGACTTATGGGGTGATGCAGACCGCAGCTGCCCACCCTAACCGGCCACACTGTCCCCTCCTCCAGCCTGGCCCTGCTCTGGAAGATGCTGGCGTTGAACCAAAAGCAATTCTCGCGCCACCACGTGACGGTCCCGCACCGGCGACTTGGAAAAGGGTGAGCGGCCGCCGCCCCCAACCTCCTCGTGCGGGAGTTGCCCCGGATCTTGCACAACCCCAGTGCGGGAAGCCAGAGAGCTAGCTGGATTCGCACTCGGTTGACATTGCGGCACAGAGCAGAATGATAAATAAATGAGTAACCACATCAATATTTAAGTGTTCTCTCCTAGTTCTGGGACTCCTGCATCGTGGGTTGGGGAAAATTATAAGCTCTATCTAGTTAAGATTTTGAGGACTCCTGGTGGCGCAATGGTTAAACCGCTGGGCTGCTAACCAAAAGTTCGGAGGTTAAACTCACCAGCTGCTCCACGGGAGAAAGATGTGGCAGTCAGCTTCCGGAAAGATTACAGTCTTGAAAACCCTATGGGGCAATTCTACTGTCAGCCCTATCCGGTGACTAGGAATCGGAATCCCCTCGAAGGCAGTGGGTTTGATTTTTGGTTTGGTGAAGGTTTTTATTATTTCCACCTGTTCTGGTTAGCTAGTGCTGCTTTGACATGAATATATACCACAAATGGGATGGCCTTAACAAATAGCAGTTTATTCTTACAACTTGGAGGCTTTAAGTCCAAGTTCAAAGTGCCAGGCTCTAGGGGCTGAGTGAAAGCTCCTCAACCTTGGGGTCCAGCTCTGCCTCCTGCTCCCGGCTCACTGGAGCTAGAGGCATTTCTTCACTCAGCTGCTGACTGCTGAGGCTGGAAGCCCCAAGGTTGACAAGTAAAAAGGCACAGTCTTGATGTTAACCAAACCACACAGCAGGCCATTAATTTAAGTCCATTGTAAGTCCTAAGGTTGGCAGAGCATGGCAGGTTGCTGAACAACAGACACAGCCACATCCAAGTGTGCCATAAGCTAGAGACCATTCCTGAAGCTGCTGCTTATATATGGGAAACAGACCACATACCCAGTGCAGCTACTCAGCTGCTTGTGGTAGATCCCATCATGGAGCTGATTGCCAGTTTCATCATGAGGAATAACTACCACCAGCTGTCCAGCCACTCAACCAGGCCCAGCCAAGCTGACACACAAACATAATCACTACCCCACCCGTTACTAAGTTTACCCCTGTGTGCCGAGGAACCCTGATAGCCCAGTGGTTACAGCGCTGGGCTACCAACCAAAAGGTTAGAGTCTACTTGCTGCTTCACTAGAGAAAGATATGGCAGTCTGCGTCTGTAAAACTTACAGACTTAGAAACTCTATGGGGCAGTTCTACATTGTCTATAGAGTCGCTATGAGTCAGAATACATGGAGGGCAATGGGTTAGGTTTTTTTTTTAAGTGCCAAGACCTGGGTGTTTGCTGCACTCCTAGTTTAATTATTATTATGACTATTAATGATAGCCATCATTAATAATTACAGATGCTCAATTTCGGCCAGTGCTGGTGCTTTATGTGTATTACCTCATTTTCACCTCAGACCAGCTTTGTGAAGTGGGTTGTATTCCAATTTTCCAGAAGATAAAATGCAACTTAGGAAAGTTAACTAACTTCCCCAAGACCCCTAACTGGCAGAGGTAAGATTTGATTCCACAAGGACCCCAGAAACTGTACCTTTTTTTTTCACTTTAAGAGCCTATACTTTTAAAAATAATTTTTTAAAATATAATACACACCCATGCTCAAGTATAGCAAGGACTGTGAGGCTGGTGCACAACCAGGCAATGTTTTATTCTGTTGTACACAGGGTCATTATGATTCAGAGCTAATTTGTCCACTCCTAACAACAACAATACACATCCATAACACCCTTTGCAATAGAGTTGATTCCAACTCATAGTGACCTGATAGGACAGAGTAGAACTGCTCCATAGGATTTTCAAGGAAATAAGGAAGCAGAATGCCACATCTTTCTCTCATACAGCAACTTGTGGATTCAAGCCACCAATCTTTCTGTTAGCCACTGAGCACTTAACTATGTGCCACCAGGGCTCCTTGTCATTTACACGTGTCTAAAAAATAAAAGTCAAATAGAACAGAAGGGTTTATGATGAAAAACTAAACCCCACTTTACCCCTCATTCCAAGGATAAGCATTTGTAGCCATTTGTGTTTTCAGGCCTGGTGGTTACCTCCAAATCTCTACATAAAATACTTATATAGCTATTTCTGGATTTATCAGGTCAGGCCATTATCTAATGTTTTCCTGCTCTGATAGATCATGATTTAGCTCACACATCACTTCCCTCCTCAAATATTATATAGCTATTTTACTAATTTTAGTTCTTCTTTTGGACACTTTTGGAGTCCCTGGGTGGTACAACCAGTTAACTGCTCAGCTGCTAACCAAAAGGTTGAAGGTTCAGGTCCACCCAGAGGAAGGAAAGCCTGGAATCTACTTCTGAAAAATCAGTAACTGAAAACCCTAGCACAATTCTACTCTGACACACTTGGGGTTTCCATGAGTCAGAATTGACTTGACAGCAACTGAGTAGTATTAGATACCTTTATAGTGGAATACTTTATTATTTCTTCTTGGGGAGATTGTCCACAGCACCCTTTGACTTCCTGTGTTGTGAGAAGAAGATGCCAAAAATCTGTACCCTCCTCCCACCCCCCAGCCCATGCCTTCTGCCAGGAATGTAGATGTAAGAAACCAATACACCTAGCAGAGGAGACCTGCAAGAACCCACAGGTCCAGTTCTGACAGTCTTCCACCTTAACTCTCCAATCAGAAGAGAGTAGGGGACAAGAGGTAGAGGAACCCTGGGTACTGCATCCCTGTAGGCAGTGCCTGGCTTTGGAGGCAGCCAGATCTGCCTCTGGATCTTGCTTCCATTTAACAGCTATGAGATCCAAAGTTTAAGCCAGCTCTTTGATTTCTCTTTGCCTTATCTAGAAAGTGAGGATAATGATTTCTACATCAAACAGTTGCTAAGATTATGTGAGAAAACACGTAATCAACAAGTTTTACACAGTGGAGACCTTTACAAATGATCCCAAGGCATCTGAACATCAAATACAGTTATTGTCATTGTGAAAAATATAGAAAAACATAAAACAAAAAGAATTTATCATAATCTCACAACCCAGAAACACTGTTAACATTTTGTTGCATTTCTTCCCAATTTTTCTCTATATTTTGTTGTTTTGTATACATTACGGTTGTGAGGTTTGTGTGTTGCTATGATGCTGAATAGGTTTCAGCAGAGCTTCCAGAATAAGACAGACAGGAAAAAAGTCCTGGAAATCTACTTCTGAAAGTCAGCCAATGAAACCCTATGGATCACAACAATCCCATTCAAAACCGATCATGGAAATGGTGTAAGACCAGGAAATGTTTTGTTCCATTGTTTATGGGGTCACCATGAGTCAGTAGCCGACTCAACAGACAGCTAACAACATGATAGTGAGGCAACAACAGTGTAATGTTAAGCCTGTGGGCATTAGACTCATTTGTTTTACATGTATTATCTTGTTTACACTGATGACAACCAATAAGGCAGATGCTTTTGCTGGCCTCAGTTTCACTGATGAGGTAAGTAACGCAGAGAGAGTTTGATTACTTTTTCCTAGGCCTCCAACTGGAAAAAAATAACAAACTCACTGCCATTGAGTCGATTCTGACTCATAGTGACCCCCTTTGGGTTTCCAAGGCGGTAAATCTTTACAGAAATAGATTGCCCAGTCTTCCTTCCATGGAGTGGCTGGTGGATTTGAACCATCAACCTTCTGGTTAGAAGTCAAATGCCTTAGGCACTGTGCCACCAGAGCTCCTTAACTGGAAAAATAGCAGAAGCTATTGAACCCAGGTCTCAGTGACTCTTAAGTCTGTGGCACTTTGCACTCACACTATATCTCCCTGGTGGTCAATTAGTTGTGTTGTTAGGTGCCATTGAGTTGATTCCAGCTCTTAGCGACCCTATATACAATGGAACAAGACACTGCCCAGTCCTGCACCTGCTCGTAATCCTTGCTGTGCTTGAGCCGATCATTGCAGCCATTGTGTCAATACATCTCATTGAGGGTCTTCCCCTTATTCTTTGACCTTCCACTTTACCAAGCATGATATCCTTCTCCAGCAATTGGTATCTTCTGACCACATGACAGAGGTAGATGAGAGGAAGTCTGACCATTCTCATTTCTAAGATGGATTGACACAGTGGCTGCAACAATGGGCTCACGTATAGCAAGGATCGTGGCACAGGACCGGGCAGTGTTTCATTCTGCTGTACATGAGGTCACTATGAGTCAGAGATGACTCGATTGCACCTAACAACAATGACAACAAG